ACCTCCACCCCCACCCCCATCTCTTCAACCTCCACCACCACCCCCATCTAATCAACCTCCACCACCAGGTGAAGAAGCGCCAGTGAGACTGGAAGACGATGGCATCAAAGAAGCAGAGAAAACGGACCATTTAAATCCTGACTGGGACCATTGGAAGAAGCTCACGACAGATAAAGAGAGGTTAGTAATTTAATCATGTAGTTATTTAATTTTATTCTTTTTTTTAAAATTTTAGTTTAGTGTATTTATTTTGTGCGATATCTAGGCGTTTTAACTATTTTCCGAGCAAAACTTTTCACAGGGAACTTTGGATCAGCCAAATTGATTGGGGCCTCCGAGAAATTTAGCCCAAGGATCAGAAATATTTTTATCGAATGAAAGCTTACTGTAATATTTGCCACATGGGTGTCTCCAAAAGAAACTGGAGAAAATTTAAATTTTTCGGAAGTTTGTAGCAAGAAATTTTAATCATCAACGCCTATATGGGTCATCATTCTGCTTATGTAATGCTCATGTGGTTCAATAATCTTGAACTTTCCTACCTAAGTATTTGGAGGAATTACTTCTTTCCCCCCAAGGAATATCTTAGTGCACTCATGATTGTATCCTTTTAACAAAATCCACTTGAAGTTTCTCAAACTCTGCATGAACCATGAAGTATCACCTATTACATGTCGCATCACGTTTGTGAAATAGCTCTCTATTCTATCAATTTTTATTATTTTTCCTCCTCTCACAGGTACAGAAAGGTTCGTAAGATGTGGAAGAATCTACGTATTCCAAATCCCAAAGTTAACTTGACCGTGCGGAATTCGCAGAGACGGAATGGGTATGCTCCTCCTATTCGGCATCTTCGTGAAAATCCTGTAAGCGTTAAATTTATCTGTATTATTTACCTGTTCTCTAATAATTAAGTTCTGTCCATCTCCTAGCCAGGAAACAAGCTGCAGATTTGGTGATCTGTAAATTATGGTGTGGAATGTTGCAACCATTAAGAGAGAGGAAGAAAGTAAGGAGAAACAGGAGGAATCTTAAAGGACAAGGAAAGACATTTCTTGTGACACAGAGAGATGTTAACTGAAATATTGTAGTAAACACCACTACCACCCTCTGTTTTTGGGGTGCAAAAAATGCAGAATTCTAGACTGCTAATGGCGTTATTACAAGCAGTAGTAATTAATAAAGTCACCTTTCTCCCTCTTATTTTTACGAGTATGACTACGTTAGAAAATATTGCAACCACCATCGCATCCGGCAATTTTTTGAGAACACATCATCAGAACCACTTTTGTGCCCAATTTTGCGCCTGCAGTCTGGTTTTCTGCCGAAGATTTCTTGATCTTCTCGTGAAAATTTCGAAATTTTAATCATCCAACTTATTTCCTTGAGGGAAGTGTCCTTTATCACACTAGAAGTTATTTCTGAGTTTTAATCAAAAATTAGGAAACTACCTGAGCTTTGAGATACTCTTGAAATTTTCTAAATACTCGAAAAACTCAGCTTCATAGGCAGAGATGGAAAATTTCATGAAATTTATTCGTGTAAAATTTCACAAAATTTTTTGAAATACTTAGGGACGCATTCAGGAGGCCAAGAAACACCCAGGAACAGTGATTCTTGATTTTAACATTTTTCACTCCACGCCTAAAACATTCACACATTGCAATTGTTTTCATTTGGTTTGGATGTTAGGTTGGGGCTAAATTTCTCTCTGAACTTCCCTTTGTGTATAGCACCGTAGTAGAGAAGCATAATAATGTCGCATGAACATGAAGACCACCTGAAACGCTATTTGGACTTCTGAAGGCCTGATTAATAGCTCTAATGAAAATTAATACATTTCAAATTTTGTGAAATTCATTCGAGCCTTTTGAAATTTCACTTTCCATCTCTGTTTCTTGGATAGAACTTTCTATCCCCTTGCGCATTTGAAATGCATTCATATGTTTGTCGCATTAAGTCAGTGTGTAATTTGCATCTTTTTGTCCAGTTTACACACCCTAAAATATTGATGGATGTTCAGTCAGCTTGTATTTTTTTCCAGTCTCCGAAGTTTGAGTGCATTGAAAAGTTGGTCGATATTTAATCAGCAGACTCTTTTTACCTCTGAAAATACCCTAAAAATCAAGGAAAATTAGGAAAGGAAATCCCAGGGGCCTCACTCTCTTATTATACGAGAACACAATTTTAATGTTGAAAGAATAAACAAAACAAATTCCTCATTCTTGATTCTTGTTGAAGAGAATTATCAAATTATCAAGTTTTATTGTGTTTCCTTTACTTTAGGAACAAAATGACAAGGTCAATCCCTAAATTTCTGATGCCATTGTCAAAATTGGTTTATATAAGTCACATCAAAATAGTCACACCAGAAAGAGCTCTTCTTGGCAAGATGAGGTGTCTCTTTTCTCTCTATGGGAAATGGTGACTCATGAAAAGGAAAGAAGTCTTAAAATTTAGGAAATATGAATAAAGGACTCAAGGTGGATTAGATATTCAAATTATTGTTATTTCTGTTTTCAGGCAAATTCCGTTTTTGATGTTCCATCAATTCACTGCGGCACCATCTTCGAAGATCAAATTAACGATATAGATAGGATCTGTAGTGAGAAAGTCAACGCGTTACAACATCAAATGCAAGAGGAAATAGAGAATCAAACTTACAAATATCATCAAGCATTGAGGAATTGTCATAATCCAGTTCAGGTTCAGCAAATCCAAAACGCTCACTTCACGGTAAGTTGCACTTCATTCTTCCTCTCCTATTCTTCCATATTTTCAAAATTTCCCATAAACAAGTTTTTTTATTTGTAGAAAGATATAGTTTTGAATAATTTCCTTATATTATTGTTTCACAATGTTATGGCTGAAATGGACCGTTATGATGTATATTTTTTACTCAAAACTCAGTCGTAGACCCTGATTTGTACAATGATAATTGGACTGCATTTTGGTGCATTTTTCGGTTTAAAAACAACGTATGTGCCATTAGTTTCCCTATGCACATAAGTGTTTTTTCAGATGAGCCAGAACTTATAGGTCCAAATTGCAAAATGCAGTCCAATTATTGAAAGTAACTCCTGACCAAGATATTATCATTTTTTGATGCATAAATTCAAACTTCCTGCTCACAGAAAAAACAGTTATCTGCCTGAATTGAATTGGACACAAAATGTTACCGCATCAGTCTCTGTGGTATAAAACTGTAGCAACCTCAATCTCAGCGCTTTGAGTCAGCTGTGGCACGTTGTTAACACTTTGGGGGAAGAAACAATTCTCGATTAAATAGCTTGCCAAAACTGTTGCATTGCAAGATTTGATTCCAGTCGACCATATTTTTTTCTTGTGGGGGGAGTGTTGAGAGGGGAATTCAAACCTTCAGCATCCCGTGTAAACTAAAAAGGATTACATTATTGCTAAGAGTTGATCTCAGTACCTAATTTTCATTGAGCAAATTGTGTTCTGCATGAAATTTTGGTCAGGAAACTTGTATTAGAATTCTAAAATTCACACCTTGTCTTGTGGTCTATTGTAGTTTCGAGTGATTCTCCTTACTTTGTCGCCTCAGTTTTATGGCAGAAATGACTTTAACTTCTAGACACAGCTTTTTGACCGCTCACATGAAAAGGGACCTTACTTGCTAAAACTTTATATCACCGAGATCGACAGCTCTTCCTGCCAAGTTAAAATTAAAAAAACAATTGGTAGCTGTAAATATGTAACTGACAAACCCTTTAAGAACACACTTTAAAGGCCTATGAACTTCTCTGCTCTAGTTGAAGACACCAGCCATATACTGAGCGCTCTGGAGTGTGGGACGACAGCTGATCCTGGCCCCATATCTTTACAGATAATACTGGGATTTGCCAATTTTAGCTAGTTTCTTTAAATTAGCCACCCAAACAAAAACACTCCAAGGATCAAGGTGAAATTTGACATGAAGTTTCTTCAAGATTCCGGAAAGTGCTGTTTTGGTGGCTGATGTTTTGAAATATGATCATAGAGATATGATATTTTCTGATAATAAAAAAAGAGAAATGTTGCTGGCTCCTGTAGTGTTTAAATGTCTGCCCATTTGCGGCAGGAAAACTTTGTAGTAGATGAGCTGAAAGGTGTGATGATTCCTTAGGTTTGGAGAGAATGCCTCTCTGGCAGCAGATGACTTTTAATTAATTACCAAGTGAGATGTGATGTCTTAAAGATTCTGTTCCCTGCAGCTTTCAATGTCTGCCCACCTGTGGCAGAACTGAGCATAGGTTCAAGCTGAAAGAATTTGATGCAAAATCGACCTCCTCCCCTTGAATTTTTAGTGTATCAGAAGCTTATATTGAACCATCTCTTTGTAAAATTTCAACTCCTCAAAAAAATCAGGTGAGTAAGAGAGGGCAGGGGCTCAAAGTCCAATAACTCGGTGAAAGACTTTTCCTCATAACTTGTCAACAAATAAAGATATCTGTTGACTAGCGGTTTGCACTAGTGACTCTCAAATTAAATATGCTTTCAAACGAGTGCACATTTTGCATACTTATCTGAACTCAAAGCTTGGGAAATTTGACCTGGTGGCATTTGAAATCACATTTTTTCCTATGTTTGTGAAAACACTAAAAAACACCATAGTTTTAATTTGCATCATAAACGTATATCGAGAGCTGAGGAAAAAACCACCTAACTTAAATTCCGGCGAAAATGAGTTACCGACTTTGCCATATTCTACAGTATGACATACGCGAGTTGATGGTTTTTGTTTTCTCTAATTCCTCATGGGAGGGCTGTAATGACACTGTTATGTTTACGGAAATCGCTGATCTAATTTCAAAATTATGACAATGGCAAAGTTTTTTCTTTGTCCTGCAAAATCGTCAGTTGCAGCAGATAGGCAGATAAGCCGCATTGTTCCTTAACCATTGACGTATTGTTCTTAATTCTATGCAGACCATACAAATCTTTACCGCATCCAATTTGTCGGGAGCAAGTAATGACAGCAAAGCAACAAAAAACGCCCCTTTTCGGGTAATTTCGAATTGCTTGCCAACACTTGATGCATTGTTCTTAATTCTATGCTGATCATAAAAATCTTTACCGCATCCTGAGGAAATTTGTTGTGAGCAAGTAATGACAGCAAAACCAACAAAAAACGCCCTTTTTCGGGCAATTTCGAATTGCTTGCCAACACTATCCAGGCTGGCGATATTGAGTTCAGAACTCGGCTGTTGCCATGTGTTGCCCAGCTCGTTTCGATATTTCTTGGTGAACAGCAGAGCAGGGCTAGACATGGCAACAGCCAAGTGCTAAACTCAATGCGAATTTCTTGGGAATGTACTGAAAAATTACTGTAAAAATACTGATTTTTGACCAGCCTGTTTTAGGAGACACCCTAGATTGAAATACTTCGTGAACATTTTGTCCTGTAAAACGTGTCAAAATTTTGTTGTGTGTAGCCTAATGCTCAAAAATCTGTTTCAGTCCTTGGCTAAGACGCGAGAACTTTTCGAGAATAAGCGCGACCAATTGCAAAGAGAAGCAGAGTGGGAGAAGGAACGTTTGCAGGATACTGGCCATGAAGTTGTCTCATTTCACGAATTCTACGACGACCTGGATGGGGAAAAGCCTGAGTATAGTACACGGCTATCAGAAGAAGAATTCCATGAAATCACCCAAATCAACGAAATGCTCAAAGAGTACTATCAGTTCTACCAATAATTGGTAGAACTGATAGTACTATTGGTATATTTTTGCTTCAATGGAAATTTTAAGACTGATTCAAGTGCCAGTACCTAGGTCAATAGATAAGTTTTTTGTGCTTCATCTAAATATTTTAAGACTGATTCATAGGCGCACTAATTTACCGGTGTTCTGTCGTAGATAAGTCTTTTCTGCCTCTAATCATTGTTCAGTGTTAGTTGCCATTTTTAACGAACAAGTGGATTAAGCTATATGATCTAAGGACTTAGATTGTATGACCTTTTTCTCAACGGATGTAGAATCTCAATTTTACTGCTTGAAGTCTTCTGGAAATCTGAAGGTTTTCCAAAACTCTGTTAACCATGCCCCAATAATAACGTAATTAACTATTTTGTAAATTTTCTCAAACGAGTTTTTCGCATGTTTATATCCAGTTTCGAATCCAACGATGATGGAATCGTTTTGAAAGTTAGGGAAATGTATGCTAATGACAGTCGAAGTGATACTTTTTCCGATTCCTCTTCAACTCTTGATTTCTTTAATTTTATTCTCTCATTTCATTTTTTTCTATTTTTTATTACTGCAGCTTTTTTTTAGAAGTTCTGTTGTTAGCAAATTTGAGTTATGTTGAATTTGAATTAATTGTACTCCCTCTCCTTTGTTCTTCCTTTTATTTAAATTATTAATAATTTGCAAGTATCATAAATCCATGGGCGATGGGTTATTCTCTATACGTGAAATACTTTAAAGTCTGTCCATTGATCTCCCGACCAGTCATTCAATTCGAGTCACCCCTTTCCAATGAGTCAGAAGATTCAAGCATAAAATTTCTCAATTCAAATGTTTTAACTAATTCAAAAAGTCCTATTTTTTATACTTACTCAGTCATTAAAGGCATAATTTTAAAATGTATTTCTTAGCAGCAAAAACAGTTAACTCTCTTACAAAGGAGCAAGAACCCATTAATTTTGTAGTGGGTTCTTAAGAGCTTCTTTGTAAGAGAGTAACAATAACTAAACGTGATAATGAATCCCTTAACGGCTACATAATTGAGATCCAAACACCTCTAGATAGCAGTGTATGAATCTCTGCTTTCTATTCTCTAAAATGAAATAGACTAAAAGAAAGATTCAAAGTAAATCAAACTAGAGTAAGTCAATTTTAGCAGAAATCGCGTAATGGTTTCAATAATTAAAATACAGCTGAAACGTTTTGAAATTTTTTTTCTGAAGGAAACAAAAGTTGGCATTAATTTTTGGTTTCTTTAAATATACCTATGACCCCAATCAAAAGCTTTTGATGCATCAGATACATTTTAAAACTCCTTTGTCATATCTGCTCTTGGCTACCTTTTTTCCGTTTAAGATAATATTTTTTAATGTTTCATGCCTTTGAATATTATTCCTGGTGGTGCCTTGAAGAGAGAAGTTTTGTCGTGTCAACTAAGCTTAGCATTCCTCCTCTGAACGCATTAAAATATTTTAATATTTGTACAGATAGAAAGTTATTTGCATTTGTTTTTTCTAGATACTCATGAAATATTTTTTGATATTTTTGTTTCGTTGTAAATAGCATCCACTCAGGGGACCTTCTCTTCTTGTACATATAAGACTTTCCCCTAATATCTGCATTACCTTTACAGTTACCTGAATGCATTTTGTTTGTTATTTTTTACTATTTTTTTGAACATTGTTTCCCTGTTATTTTAATTCAGATGTAAATTGTAAGTTAATATTTGTCGAAGCATTGAAAGTTTGTAGTACTCGGTGAAATGACTTAGGCGCTACTATTGCACTGGGTTAGTTGGACATGTCCTTCATTTTTTTGATGGTTCACTCTCATTTAATAACTGGAAACTAACAGCATAGATCCACTTTAAAAAAATTTTGTCTGAATTTAATGTAGTAATGTTGTAAAGTTTTCTTCTTTTCAGGAACATCATGGGTGATCTCACCCACTGTATTTCTGAAAGAGCAATATCTTCATTAATATTCAATGGCGAAACTCAGTGTTATGATAAATTTCATTATCATTATCGATCTATAAGTTTGAGCCTTGAAAATGCAATTTTGTTGAATATTTGACTTGCAGCAGTGGCGGTGATATCACAGGTTAACAGTGTTGTCTCCCTGCTGAAAGATTTTGAAACTTCCTGAGATGCATTCATCATTACTTAGACCATTTCACATACCAGTGATCGTACTTTAAAAATGAAGAATTGGAATTGAGTGCCATGCTGCGTAATTTTCTGAGAAGATTGTCGGTTTATTCGTCAATGGGCTCAATGATAATCGCCTAGTACTGAGAAACCTCCATTGTTTATTGTAATTTTTCTGCGTATTGAATATTCTCCAACTATTAAAATTTACACGGTAATCCACAGTTAGTCTGTAACCAAGCACTTCATAATGATATTATCATAGCCTGCGGCGTAAAAGAGAGTCAAAAATATTGAAAAATCTGTTCCCTTTAGAATACTTTTATGCCAATCATGCCTCACTCGTACATAAGCGGGGCAGTTTCTTTATTTTGAACTGTAACAGTTTTTTCATCATATTGTTCTCAATTGAGCTTTCAGTTTAGTTAATTAATGAAGCATCTAAATATTCAACTACAGTTTTCAAGCGTCTCATCTCTTAATGCCAGGTAAAGGGACCATTGTCGCAGTATAGTCTTTTGTAAAATAGGTTATGTGCCTTGTCCTTTCCCACTGAAAATATGTTCCATGCTATGTGTTGAAAACTTTAGTTCAATACTTTGTGCCTTGCCCTCCGACTGTAGAGTACAAATTATTTCTTAATTAACCACTTGAAATTGTCATGTTCTGCATTTGTGTTCTTTCTTTTAAATTTGACGTGAACAATGGAATTAGTTGTTTCCAAGCGGAGAATTGAACATTACTCTTCCCACCGTAGTATCGTTTATTTTTAGCTTTTAAGACGGAGCCTAGTAGCACACATTTACTTATTCATTCTTTCGCCATGTCATGGGAATACAATCTGATATGAAAATAGGTACATGGTTGAAAGGTGAAAAGGAGTCAGTACAAAATATTGTCTTTATTTTTATTTTATTGTTTCCCTTGTTTTGATAAGTTAACTCATTTGTACGTTTTTTAATTGACTTCTGAAAATTTTTATTTCTCTTTATGTTTATTTATAGTCTTTATCCTAGTTTCATGTAGTCATAGTTTGTGTTAATAAGTGGTCTGATGAGTCGCTTTATAGCGCTTAAAAATTTGGCACAATTTTCTAGGATTGTATGTACAGTTATTCCTTGTGTAGTATCAGGTTTTCGTGCGAACGGAACTCAGATGAAATCAGCTGTTTTCCCTCGGCCAAATTTTGTTGGTTGTGGTCAACCACAAGTTCAGTCAAATATAATCTCAACTGATGATTGCTTAAATAAGGCACTAAACTCAAGCTATTGGCAAGATGAGTTTTTTTCTTGGTGAATTAAAAAAATATTGATGGCTTAAGTAAAAAAATGCACGTCTCAGATTGGGACGTCTAAGTTTCAGTTCATGTTCTATTTTTTTAAACGATAACTGACCACCAAATTCCATTGAAATAATTCGTGAATATTCTACTCTCATTCTAAAAAAGTATACAAAATTGCGAGGAAAAATTTTGATTAGTTTTTTTCAAAGGAAATAATACACTATTGGAGATTTTTAGACGTTCCAATTGAGATCTGCATTTTTTGCCTTGAGTCATTGAATTAAAATCTTCAGCAATTCGAACAGTTTATGAGCAATTGATTGACGAAGGTAAACTTACTTGAAGCCATCCATCAAGCAAAGCTTGTTGCTAGCAAAAAGGCTGGGATCAGATCAGCTAAAAATTTATCGTAATCAAAATTAAATTCTAAGGAGATTAATCATTTATAATCTAGTCAAAATTTTAGGTGTCTAGCTGTATCAGAAATTTTCTGATTCAGTAGGATATTTTCTTGCAGCATTCTTCACGAAGTCATGCAGATTCTCGTCCAGTTCCACCATAGTTTCATTAATTTCCCGTCCAGATTTCCTAATAAAAGCCCTTCAGTTTGTTACTTACTCTCTCTAAAATTCCTTCCATCATCTTTGCCGTCAGATTGAAATAACTGTTTTTTATTTCTTTAGTTACCACAACAAGTGCCCATCAGCTCCACTAATCATTCACCTCAAATTCATTTATTTTTTGTTCTCATATGTGTTTTAGTTTTCTTTCGTTTGACCTTTCCTTGAGGCAGACAATGTTACTGTACAGCTCGGTGATAAATTATCTATGTTTTGTTTATACTATTTTTTCACTCTCGCCTTTGGCTCTAATGTGTTTATACTCTCCCGTCAGTTGACATCTCAAAAGATCGATGCTATTGCTTGTTTCAACACTGCAAACAAATTAAAAAGAAAATAAGAAAATTAAGTAGAAATTTCTCTGTAATATTCATTTGATCGCGTTTTGTGGCATCTCATTTGTAATTTTGAATCAATCTCCAGCTCCAATTGCAGGTCATTATGTACCAAAAACAAGGTACATGAAACAGGAAGTGCATTGTCATCAAAGTCTCGCAGTTGTGTGCAGAGAGAAGGTATTACATCTAATTAGTAGCTTGCAGTATGTTTGTTCGTGATGTTTTATGGATACTTTTGCATGAATAGTATCTTTTTTCGTTCACCTGCCAATGCTATTAATTCATACCAATAAGCACCTAATAATGTAATGCTCATAGGAATTTGTAGGTGTACCGGTGGAAGGAACCTTGACTTTTTCCGAACCACACCTTTAAATCCCTGTAATTCCCACTCCAAATAGATATTCATTCTTCATTTTCTTCAAATACAGGAGGGTTTGAAAGTTTCTTCTCTGCTTAATTTCACCATCTCTGACATTCCAGGCAATCACCTGAGAGATGGTTTATTGTCACTAAGTTATGCATTTCTGAAGTAACCAGTGAAAGTGAAGAAATTTCATTTCATCCGACAACAACACTTGAAAAAATTATGTAGATCTGATTTCATCTTTTAAAACCAATAGAAATCTTGCAACATTTTTCTATTGTTTTTTTAATCTTGTCGAATTGTAAAATTCCAAGTATGTAGTGTATTTTATTTGGCCAATCGACAGTTTTGAAGTGCCTTCATTTTATCATCTTAATTCAGTAAATACGGAGGCATCAAACCTCTTCACAGCACTATCTTTTCTTTTGAGTTGTCATTTTTGACGAGGTGGATACCAGTTTTTTGTTTTGTTTTATCATCTAGTGTCACTGAAGGCTTCTCTCATAATTACAATTGGAATTTGGGGAAGCCTCCAGTTAGGATATCTTGGGGCTTCTTAAATCTCAAGTCCCCTTTGATGTCCAGGATAGAAAGTGAATACCACTCACCTTCCTCTGTTTGTAAATATTTTATGATCTAGTCTAAGAAATTAATTTCGACCCATGTCTCATATTAGTTAACTTATATCCTTCATTTTAGTACTCAGTCAACTTCTAGCCCTCTGATTTAACTTCATTCTCAGTCGATGCATTGTCATTAAATAGAAATTTTCGTGAGCTTAAGTCAAAAAAAATTTCATTTGTCACTCAGATATCAGTTTTTTAACTACTCATTTATATTTAAAACCATCACAATATTAATCTTCAAATGCTACAGTCTTATTTAAAATCAAACAAAATTGGTGTGATTTTTTTCAAGTTTGCCAGTAAAGTAGGAACTAATCTTTGGATTTTTCACGCCTGAGCAAAATTGATCAAAAGTCAGGGTATTTTCAAAGAAACAATTTTTTATTGTTTTTGAATTTTTAAGGTAACCTTCAGAAATTAAAGGATTTTAGGCTCAATCAAAAGCTAAACCAGCGCTGATTTTCTTTGCTTACAAGACCGTTTAGAGATTTTCACCTACTAATGATGAGAAATTTCTTTCTTAGTTTCTCGTTAGCAACCCTGTGTTCTGTGAAGAATGAATACATACTTTCAAAGCACTTACTTTTTTCAAGGAGTCAGAACCTGCAACTTTTTTATTTTGAAGCAGAGAGTAATTTTACTGGTAATCCAAAGTTGATTTGATAAATGACATGATTTGTGAAATGAACTTCATTTTCAACAGCCACCCGTTTGAATATAATCAAAAAGATTTCTTTTAATGTTGCTCTCTTCTGCCTAATTGTGTGTTTGATTAAAAAAAGTACAGTATATGTCAATTTTGCATCAAAATTATGTCCTATTTAGGTTGACCTCTCTTTTTAAGAGTTAATTTCTGTTTTTTAATGTGTCAATTTTACATCGAAATAATGACCTATTTAGGTTGACCTGTCTTTTTTAGAGTTAATTCTGCTTTTGAAAAGTTGGAACAGCAGGTCATTAAGATGATTCTCAGTGATTTAGGGACAAGATCCGCAGCCATGTTGCGCTGTTGTACAGTCTTAGTCTTTGAGATGCAATAATTATGGTGATGTTCAAAGTAATGCCAAAAACTGATCCATAACGTGTAGCAGCATTAATACTGAGTAGTATGACATCAAATATTTGAGGATTCATCATAGATTTACATTAGTAGCTACCAAAACGGACTTCTCTCATTGACTCAACAGGTAAGAGAGATATTATAAAGCCATCTCTCTCTTACGCGTCGAGTCAATGAGCAAAGTTGGTTACAGTAGCTTCCTCCATGTCTGCTACACGTTATAGATCTGTTTCTGGCATTATCTTCCAAGTACCATAATATTTGCTTTTTAAAGGCATAAACAGTGTATCAGCGATACGGACCTTGCCCTCACATCTCTTTAGATCACCTTAAGTATTCATGAGATCTTGGCACTATTTATGAAACAATTTGCCAAATTGAAGACTTTTTCAAGAATAATTTTTTACTCATAATAGGAAGTATGTTTAGCTTATTGTATTCTTAGGAATGAATTTCTAATACTTTAAGTACCAATTGCAGTCATAATACATCGATTTTCCAAGCCTACATGAATTTAATTTACATTTACAAAGTCATCCCTTATTTTCTATGCATTACGTTTTGAGTCTCATAATATAGTTAGGAAAACACATCCATGAATTGATTTCGATAATATGAATTGCTCGACTGATGATTCCAAGTAAACGGAAGAAAGATCTTGAATCGCTCCATACTTTAGCTCCGTAAGGTGCCAGTTGCCTTCTTTAGTTGTAGTGTCTTCAGGATTAGAGAGAAAAAAGTTCCAGTTAGTATATAGATCTTTATTTTTTTAAACCCCCTATGTCTATCAGATTACTTAAGTTTATTTTGTTTCTTTGTACTTTATTCGAACAACGGTTGTGAACAATTCTATTTTCTTAATTTTGAACCTCTCAAATGATTAAAATATTTTATGATAAATTCTGTTCTTTCTTCTTCAGACTGTCACCCTTTTATGTCAGAATCACTTTGTGTTTGAATTTTTGAAATTTTCTGTTCGTCGACTGCGCAAGACATGACTAAGGTGGAACGAAATCATGTGATCGGTCTGCTTTGTTGGTCATCCTCTTTACTGTATCCATGTCGGGTGGAATTAACGAAAAGCTTAAGTCACCTCTTGAGATGCCAATACTTCGTCATCAGCTCGACCTGACACAGATGCAACAGAAAGGACAAATGGCAAAACTAACTAATCTCACAACTCCATTCTTCCTTAGTCTTGTCTTATCCAGTCAACAAACTCAAGTTTCAAAATTTAGGCTGCTAGCATAGGTAGAAAGTTTTTGCCGAAGAGAGGAGTTGTCTGACCAGTTTTTCCTGACTGTGGCATTGTAAATTAAGGCACTGGATGCGAAAAGGGCACTTCTCGATTGTGGTGTCTCAGAATATCTGTTGCCAATTAATACCATGGAGAAAAATTTAATGGACGATTTTTCCAGAATTCTTTCCATAGAAAATTGTAGAATCATAAGGAATATTCAGTAAAATGTTTAGTGAAATAGATGCATTCACTTTTCTTACAATGAATCAAATACTAGAGGAGACTCTGAAACACTGCAACGGCCAAGTGCCCTTTTCGCATCCAATTCCTCAATTAAAACGACGCTCAATGAATAATTATTTTTCTTCAATATGCGCTCTTGATTCTTGGCAGGGCAATGTAGGGTTCTTGCAGTATAACTCCATTTGATCCTGCCAGTTACAGATAATGGCCGTGAGCCATGCAGTTTTAAAAAAAACTTTTCGAGCAAGGAAGAAACGATCAAGAAGAGATGAGCTCCTTATCAAGGCTCGGATTTATATAAATTATCTCATTTGGACAGCAGTAAAACAGTTTCAACTGTTGAGTTACCAATTTTTCTTCTTTTTACCGTATTTAGTTCTGTTTTCAAAGCGCCTCAGAAGTATATTTTTTTTTAAAAAAAAAAAAACGTTCTCATTCATCATGGCCCATTTTCAGTAACGTAAACAGAAAAAAATAAATTAAAAACTTAATTTGGGGACAGGCTGCCAAAGGGGAACAAATCAAAAGAAACACTCAGAACGTTTCGAAATAGTCACAATTTCATTATCAACTGGAGAACAAAAATTAAATAAAAATGTGTCGTTGATTAATCAACGTTGCGAGACCGAGACTGATCACAAGGTAACAGGCTCACTCAGACTTTTCTGGCTGATTAATTTGTTCTTCATTGTAAACAGGAAAATCTAAAGCTGAGGAATTTCAAAGACATGGTTTGGCAATAACTTTTAACATCATAGAATGGCTTTATGCTGAAAAATTGAAGAGGAAGTACATTTAAAGCTGATTTTTCGGATCTCAGATGAAACGTGGCCCATGGTTCCTACAGTTTTTATTTAGCTCTGGTTTTTTGAATTGTCTGATTACTATCGAGGATTCCTCTTCCTCAACAAGCAGCCACTTTTTTTGCTGGGCAATTCAAGAATTTGAGGCGTGAAACTTAGAAAAATACTGATGTAGTTCCCTTCCTCTTCATCAGCATAAAGTGTGTTCAATTGTCTCTCTACGGATACATATTCTGGAGTCGTTTGGGCAATACTTTGCTTTTGCTACTTATCGACTCACGCAATCTGAACTGAATATTTATTCTCATCAGATTGAATATCTTTTCCCCTTTAAGAGAGAATAGGTAGAATAAGATAGGGAGTTTTCCTTTTCCTCCTGCTTGCGCACTTCAATAGGTACACGCAAAAATTTAAATTTTGGCGGGCAACCCGCCATCTTGAAATAATTGATTGACCCGCCTTCTTGCCCCTTCCCCACCCGCCAGTCGGCGTCGTCTGTTGTCGTTATCGCCATTTTGATTCGAAGGCTTCCGCTGTCCCTCATAAAACCTGACTTTTAATTTAACATTTATCCCAAAATTTTCTGAATCATTACTAGTATTTGCATTTATCTGTGAAGTGATTTCAACTGTTCTGCTAAAATTCGGGCCGTGAGGCTATCGTTCAGCGTGACACCATGTGTGTAGTGCAGCGCCTTCAGTGGCCGATTTGAAGAAAATCTTGCTATTGATGCCCCCTGTATTTGAAATCCGTAAGTAAAAACTGTAGATAAATCCGGCAGACGGCGTTTTGCATTATTTTGATATCAAAATCCGCTCTCATTATCACTGGATTTTCTGATAAGAGCAATCGGATCGGATTCAAAGGTTTCGTTCGCTTATTTTCTTTTCAAATTATGAGGAAACTTTTCATTGAATAAAGTATTCATGGAGCCATGACCTAAACTGGATCTCAGAAGTCCCCATCATTGCCCTTGTCTTCGATCATTTTTCCGAAGAACGAACTCACTTACTTTTACCTCCGAAGCTGTTTAGTTTGAATGTTCGCATATATCATCAGTCTTAAATTCCCCGGAACTCACCTTACATTACAAAAGGTGATGAAGATACGTAAGGAATAATGTGGGGAACAGTCGTTACCAAAATGGTGATAGGGTCAGATGGTCACATTTGGCTGGCTTGTGTTGTCACCTACGTATCAAAGCTTTTGATAATGTGTATTGCATTAGCTTCATTAGAAGAAATCAACCTGGTCTCTTCTCCGAAAAGTGTGAGTGAGAGTGGGCCTGTTTTTTATGGAACTTCTTGACCTATTTATGGTCAGAACCTAACCTTTATCACTTACATCTCCCAATGTTTGAAGCATCTGCTTTAAGGTCACTTACGAACAATAGAGTCACTGGACGTTTTGTCACTCAAATACTCTGATGTCTCCAAAGAAGGGAACTCACAGTCTTAGTTACCATTTAGTTAGTGTAATTTTTACTTATTGACGGCAGCTTTGCAGTTATGTCAGAAGGAACTACGTATGTGACACCAGTAATTACGAAGTTTAAAGACCTGAAGAAATGGTGAAATATTCTACAATTAAATCCAAGTTGTTTGATTGGAGTCAATGATGTCTGAAGAGTCTGTCCGAGATCAGAAGACTCCTCTTACTCTAATCTCCTTGTCTGAAAGCGCTAGTCATGTACGATTCAAGTTTTGCTCACTCGGATCATGATCAAACCCTCATTTATATGTAATACATATTTGTCTTTTTGCTAGCCAGACTCCAATGTACACATTTTCAGCTGTGAAAAACTGAACACTATCTTCACAATTTTCCACTATTCCATGGCTGTAAAGCTGGATTACTCCTCGACTGTATTGAATTTTCATGCTATTATATTAATGATGGAGTAAGTGTACCAACCACTTGTCTTTATCCATCCTCCTATAGTTATGTTCTTTCACCTTCCGCCTTTAAAATGTTATTAATTTTTCTCCTTGTATCCTTTGCTTCCCAGGGACTTGAATGAAGAGTTCCAAGAGAGTTCAATTTAACGTTTAAGGAACACGAAACATAAAGATGGCGGTCACAAATCCCAAAACGTCATGTAAGTATCCTGGTGTTATTTTCAAGCAGGAATTTATGAAGTACCTTAAGTACATCATGAATTTTTTTTTTTCATTAAAATTAAATGTACTACTGCCCCTTACAGGGCATTAATTACATAGGTGTTAACTCATACTTAAAGCTAATCTTAAAACTAATATTATAAAATTTTGTTTTTAGTTAATAAGCTACATTCATACCTTGACCTACGCTTCTCATTATGAATGAATGATTTTACCAATAAATACAAAATAAAAAACAGAATAGGTACACTGGCTTCACTCTGCTAAAGCCAAAACTTGTGCAGAGAGCAGTCAGAATAGAAATCTAAATAGATGGTTGGCCTAGATGGTTTTCAACTCATAGAGGTTGCAGTGGAACCATTTCAAAGAACCGAGTGTTCAACTGTGTCTCTAAATCACAAAGCGTTTCAGTGCAGCCCATTTGAATCGTAGATCAGTTAAAGGAGCTGTCTGGCCAACAAAACATTTGAATCAACAAGGAGAGAGATGAATATTTTTTTCTTTAATTATTAAAAGTCCTCACTCTATTGGATTACAATTTGAAGAATCAATCGTCCAGTCCCTTCATGATATGGATAGATTTGTCAGTCCTGTGAAATCCCATTATTTGAGGTCTCCCTGTAACAAGATTTTTTCGTAAGGATCCACCTCTCCTCTGAATTAACAGATTTCAAATTCATGAGTGAACATTGTATAACAGTCATATCAAATAAGGGGCTTGGTGGACGAGGCGCATTACTTAGTGGCGTTTTTTAAAAAATTGAGACATTTCAAGTAAAACTAGTCTTAATGCATAGTCTGTAGAAAGTTTGCTCTGAAATTCCAATTTTAAGTGTCACAATGTCAGTTTGAACTTTCTTCCCGTCCTAAGGATCCATGTAATTTTGAACCTTTCTACACGTATTTCTTGAAATAGCAAAAACTGCACTTTTGCGCCTTGTCCTCCGAACCTCTCAAATGTGCTTATCTGAGGCTGAAATCCAAATTTTTGTTAACCAAACGCTTCTCTTGATTCACAGCTCAAGGAAAAGTTGAAGTGAAATTAGAAGGATCTCAAGAGGAGGAGGTAGCAACGGAGGGCGAAACGGTGACAGATATACAAAATTATCTTGATTCGTTCAATAAAGAAATCCAAGGTGGAGAACCTTCCACAATCCAAGCCGCTGCAGGTAAGCAACTCATTTTTCTCAAGTTCCTCTTGCAATTTCAGGCTTCAAATATGAGACATCAACCGATGGTAATGGTAAACACATATCAACGATGAAAGTCCGCAACATATATCGTTTGCGGTATCTGAAAATCTCCGCCTCTATGTTATTTTTTTACAGGAGAACAAACTGACATCATTCCTTGAAGTTAATGCCGAATTTTCTTTGCACAGAGAAGAAAAATCACTGCAGTTTTAAAGAATTGCTGTTGAATAGTTTTCCGTTTAAAAATAAAGTATGACAGGAAGTCTGCGACGTCGTCAACCGAGTGATGTGATTATTGACTTACCCCGTCAATATCTTGTTCAAAAGTTGATATTTAGACCTCCTGTTATGTAATACGTTTACTTAGTGAAATTTTGAAGAAAAAAAACATGTTGTGTAGTGCTTTAATTCATACCTCGTATCGAGGTCCACTATTGCTATTTTAACACACTACCAGGAAAAATTGATGTCAAGTGTTACCATCTACCCCTCTAAAATTTTCTACTGAATGGTCAACAATTTTATTTTCCTAGGAACAGTTCTCCTTGTAGACATGTCTAAAAAGTGATGTACCCATTCAATATTCTTCTAACTGTGCTTGTTTTTTCCAGAAGCGCAAAATGGAGCCCCTGAAGGAACCTACTTTGTTGATTTGTCAGGGAATTATTGCTATCAGGCAGGCAGCACTGAAGACGGAGCACAAGTTCTTACAGTTGTTTCTGGTGAGATATTTTTGCGATTACTTTTTCCACTTCATAAAATTACACTATTTAACCTGTCCTAAATTAGCAAGTAACCCATATTTTTTAAAGTCTCTTCTGTCTTTTGAGTACTGAGTTTGGCTCATCAATAAATGTTTTGAAATTTGCACAGTAACCCATTTCAATATTTGTAAATACTTTGATCAAATTTTGGGAAATTATATGATCTTCGCACACTATAAGAGTTGCTCAATACCGATCTGAACTAGAAAAATCATCAAAGACAGTTGTTTTTCAACCCCTTTAAGTCAAAATAAAGTTCTGGCTTTTTGAAAATAAAATTTGAAGAAAAGTTATTGTATATATTGGTAACTTCTGCAATTCAAAATATTGAAGATAGTTTTTCCTTTTCATGTTTCAAAATGAGTAAAAAATTATCTCTCTAACCGTAACACCTTTCATGTGATCTCTCTTTAATGTGACATTTTGTTGACTCAAAACCCAAATAATTAACATGTAACCCATTTCAATATTTGTAAATACTTTGATCAAATTTTGGGAAATTATATGATCTTCGTACACTATAAGAGTTGCTCAATACCGATCTGAACTATAAAAATTATCAAAGACAGTTGTTTTTCAGCCCCTTTAAGTCAAAATAAAGTTCTGGCTTTTTGAAAATAAAATTTGAAGAAAAGTTATTGTGTATATTGGTAACTTCTGCAATTCAAAATATTGAAGATAGTTTTTCCTTTTCATATTTCAAAATGAGTAAAAAATTATCTCTCTAAACCGTAACACCTTTCATGTGATCTCTCTTTAATGTGACATTTTGTTGACTCAAAACCCAAATAATTAAAATGAAATCCTTGCTCCCTTTTATTTTAAATTGTCGAGAAATGATTTTTTCATGAACCACTAGACAAGGTTCGAATTTCAGCATTCTGATACATGTTTCTTAACCAAAATTTCACGTAAAACATGATACGCACAACGGAAATTATTGAAATCAACTCCTTACAAAGATATTTAATGATTCTTGATGCGTGAATTCAAACCACCCGCTCATGAAAACTCAATGCTCTACGTGAATCACATCGCGCGCTAAACGTGTATCATGACAGTCTCTGCGATATAAAAATCTGGCAACCTCAATCTTGACGCTTTGGCTCAGCTATAGCAAATTGCTTACCTATAGTTTGAACAACACATGGTGGAAAATGAACATTGCTCGATTGAGAAGCTTTCTGAAACCGTTGTAGTGAGCGATTTGACTCACGTAGAGCTTTGAGTTTCTTGAGAGCGGGCAGTTCAAATTCCCCGTAACCAATGTGAAATAACAACGATAATATCTTCGTTAGGAGTTAGTTTCAGTAATTTTCGTTGCGCGAATCGTGTTTTACGTGAAATTCTGGTTAAGAAACATGTATCAGATTGCTTAAATTCGTACCTTGTCTAGTGGTCCATTAAAATGAAATCCTTGCTCCCTTTTATTTTAAATTGTCGAGAAATGATTTTTTAATTCAGAAGAATATTTCTTGCAGGTGTGGCTGATCCTAATTCAGGCGTGGGCTCGGTGGTGACATCTGAACACCAACAGTATGTTACGATACAGACAAGTGGTGAAAATGCCGGCTCAGGCAATTCGAATGAAGAAAATGTAAGTCACTTGACCCATGAGCAAGGGTGCAGATTGTTACAGCCCTCCATAATTTTCTGTAATGTGCTGGGTTTTCGCAGAAAGGCCATTGCTACGTGCGAATGAAAAATCCGTCAAATTTCTGGATTATTTTTTAATGTGTGCCTAAGTTGTGTTATTCCACATGACTTATAAATCTGGGAAAACTTATAGACCGTATTCGATAACGGTTCGATGTATCGTTTGGTTCAAAACAATAGCACATAACCTCAAACCAAACTGTAAGGATTTAAGTTGGAAAAGCTGAAAATGAGAAAATTCCTAACAATTTCACTTTAAATTGGCATTAGGTACGCAATAGAATAAAAAATCTGATACAAAAGACCCGTTCTCTCAGATTTCTGAATTTACTTTTGAGGCTATGTTTATATTTTGAACCAATCGATATCGATACAATCTCAGCCGTTTGATGTATCGAATACGATCTATAAGAAAAACAAAAATACTCTCAGCCTCTCTCCACAATTTGGTCACAACTGCACCCACGTACGGTTGAGAACAATTTGCATCCCTGCCCATGGAGCTCCAAATGTTTTCTGCAAAATTTAAGCAGAGTAATTCAATTTTAGAAAGAGAGGTAAAAGATGAGCCTAGCATAATCTAATCCGCAGTCTTAAACTTATTTGGTGACAAATCGTGATGGTTTCAATGATCATGAAAAAGACTAAATTAATCTTTGTGGATAATATTCAATGAACTTTTTAATTTTAACATCATTCTATGCCATTATCATAAAATTGTTTTCTTTATCAATCTGTTAAGGATGATCATTGAAGCAAAACTTTTCTGGTAGTGATTTTATGTACATATTTCCACATGAAAATTGATTTTTAGCCTCATGATTTATTAATTTTTATGCATTAATTCTACGCATTATTTATATGTAGGTCCATCCAGAAAAATGACTCATGTCAAAAACTGCTGCTCTGCAGGATAGATAAAAAATCGCCTAGTCTGTCCAAAAAGCAATATTATGGTGCAGTGAAATTTATTGATATGCTTAATACGATCAGAGAGAGGATCTAAAAAGAAATTTGAGGTATCTCTGTTTTGAAGAACAAAATAAGTGGAAAAAGTAGAGTTATACCATTTTTCTAATCGGTCACTTTTTAGTAACAAGTTGTTGGTATCATTGCAACACTTAGCGAAACAAAATTTTGTGATCTACTTCAGTGCTAGTTATCACTAGAGATAAAAAAGTCTAAGTATTTTCAAATTTTAGCAGAACATAATATGTCCTTACAATTTCGGAGGAAAAAGTAATAAACCTGAAATGAACCGTTACAAGGCAGTCTAAGCTTCAATCGCTTCTTATACTTCTAAACTTTTGCCAGCTTCCGAGAGAACTTATTGGTAAAGTTGAAGTGACAGTGTTATTGCACCAAGTGCACTTTTACGAGAGACAAAAATAGCCTTATCCTCATACTCCGTTGTTTGAACATTATTTTATTTTTTTTTTAAAAAAAAAATATAAAATAGTTCAAATAGCTCTAATGAGGTTCAAAGTGCCAATGTAACGATGTGATTCTCTTTTTTAGATGCAGCTGTTGAGTGAGAATGGTGACGCATTTCAAACAGTGACGATAGTTCCATCAGAAACAAACCCTGGTGAAGTGAGCTACGTTCTGATTGTGCAGCAGCGAGATGACGACAAACATGATGACAAAGATGACGACGAAGACCAAGATTTGACTGTTTACGACTTTGACGATGGCGAAGAACCTGGTCCTGTCAGTGCTGCCGTAAGTGTCAATATCTCATCAATAGTATTCATATTCTGGGAGTACAAGATCCAAAAATTTTGGCCAACCTGGTGTTTGCAAAAATAACACCAAGCTAAAATTACATTTTGGCAGTAAACAAATCAATCAGCTATTGAAAAACAAGGAACATATCCTGCAGCATCAATTCAATAGTATAGAGAATATTTCAGAACCTTCAAAATGTCCTTCGTTGTTCTATGCTTTGGTTGGCCTCTGTGTCAAGTATTAGCCTCTTTATTAGCATATTTATCAGAAAGTAAAAAATTAACTGCCGTGAGTACCGTTTATTATTATCAAGGTTAAGAGAATCATTTTTTGTGGAAAGAACAGGCAACAGCTTCTTACGTACAAATTTTGCCGCGTATTATGATCAGGAGTACACATCTTTATAAACATTGAGCCGTCGTGAGAGCTCATTTTTGCATGCTCCTTTAATCAGTATCTTCCCAGCTGTAATCAGACTTGTATTGCGACAGAGTCTCATGATTCATGAATTATGATTTAAGTGCAGTTTTTCAGGGTTCTTTTTTTCACTTGCACTGTAGGAGCAACTTCAATTGAGTGCTGAAGAGACTCGACCATGATAGGAGAAAACAATTTTAGCAGCTTTAGATGAGCTTCCGAATAAAACTCAGCGGGACACTGCCCAGAAGTGCAAATATTGCGATCCTCTTTGTCCTTTTATTTTCATTGTCGCTTTTTGGATCAGCCGTTTAAAAAATCAAACTTGCCTTGCCAAACCTGACAACATTAAGTGGCGCGCACTGCATTTTTCAATGGTTAAACTTAATATCCATGGAGGAGTAGTTGCTTTGAAATTAGATAGTTCAGTGTTTTTGTAATTTCTCCCGATAATCACAGCTACATTTCTTTCATTCTTTCCAGGAATCTGGCGATGAAGATGATAAGTCGAAAATCATCAAGCTTACCCCCAAAAAGTCTCAAACGGTTACGCAAGCTCACATGTGTAACTACTGCAACTATACTAGTCCAAAAAGGTGAGGATTTTGACCAATGCAATCAGTCATCTAAAAATTTTAAAGTTGAGAGGTATTTTTTCAGGGTGTCCTCAAATCTGGAAAACTGGTAATTGTCAAGAGAATTTCATCAGGTCAGGCAAATCAGGGGAAAGTCTGAAAATTTCATGAGAAAAACAAGAAATTTGAAAAATTAGGAATTTTATGATGTGGAAAAAAATCAGTGCTGTCAACATGAACGTACTGATCCTGAGTCTCAATTTAGTAGGGTACTAGAGAGAAACTAATCTCAATGAGGAATTGCAAGCCATTGAAAGATTAATGTTTGGAAGAAGATTGCTCATGTGCCTGTCATTTGCAGCAAAATTAATTAAAAAAGATTTTCATTTTCAGCTCTAAGCATGTAAAATTGTCTATGTGATGAAAAGTCAGGGAATTTTCATTATTCTAATCAGGAAAACCTGGAAAGGAAATTTTTTCCTGCTGAGCCTGTAGACACCCTGTTTTTTTTCACTTCTTTGATGTCTTTCAATGCAACTGTGAACCTCATTGAAGACTTTGACAATTTTAGCAATGATGCTTATGGTAATTTGCGCCTGAAAATGTAATGTTGTGATTTTTTCCTGAGCTAACATATTGTCAAAGTTACAAGGTTCTAGTTGTGCGGGACTTGCCTTTACAACCAGTCATGGGCCTCCTATCAATTCTGAGTTGAACCAACAGCATTTAATAAATTCACTCCTGTGAATGTCATAATCAGACAACTTTTTTCATTCATCTTATATTGGTAGTAACAATTGCATCCTTGTTATCAGGTATCTCCTATCCCGTCACATGAAGTCGCACTCGGAAGAAAGGCCCCACAAGTGCAGCGTATGTGAGCGAGGTTTCAAAACACTAGCGTCCTTACAGAATCATGTCAATACCCATACTGGTACCAAGCCACATAGGTGTAAATTCTGTGAGAGCGCTTTCACTACCTCAGGTGAGTGCCTCTATGTCTTTTCCCATCCGCTAAAGTTTTGTAAAATAATAATTTGCATTATGAAATTCAATTTTTATCAACTTGGTTGCATCTGACTCCCAGGGATTTTTTTTTTCTGTTTTTGAACTGCTAGAAATCAGGGTGGGTCTTAAAATTTGTGGCGTCTTATACAGGGAGAACTACAGTAGTTGAGAAAGTAAAATGCAAATTTTGCAAAGACAGAAAATGAAATTGGTAAAGTGGGAATGAGATAAATGGAGAAAATGGTGGGAAAAAACCTCAATCCTCCTAAAAATAAGACTTTTCTTTTGGAAGTCCGCAAGTATTGCAGCAATTTTCTACTTTTTTTCCAGTTTAAAACATTTTCGTTTCTATATTGCTTCCATAAAATTTTCACGTTGATTTTCATGGAAGATTTTTTCCGTATTTGTTTGATTTCACTGTACTTATTTGCTGTCGTTTACGTTTTTCAGGTGAATTAGTAAGACACGTTCGATATAAGCACACTTATGAAAAACCTCATAAGTGCACAATTTGTGATTATGCCAGTGTAGAGCTGAGCAAAATGAGGAATCATATGAGATGTCATACGGGTGAAAGACCTTATCAGGTTTGTACTTAAATTATTTATTTCTACCAATGAAAAATCCTCACTTAATGTCCTCGAAGGCCTACCGTTTTTTCGGTATCTCAATTGGATATCAAGGTTTGAAAAACCTAGGAAGTCAGGGAATGGAGAATTTGCATGCAAATTTTTTATTTCTTCATCTGAAAGTGCTTAAAGAGCTGATCTCACAGTATTTTTTATAATTTTTTTCTGATATGGGAAATAGGATTAAAATATATTTAAAAGTGAGGAAATGCACCATCTAGTGACATCATCTGACGGCATTCTCATTTGAACACATATATTTTAGCAGATTAGATCATTTTGTTGTATCTTCTCCCATAACTGTTCAATTCATGAACCAAGGGTATCCTCGTGTTCAGTTCACTAAGTAGTTTCCACTTAAACATGAAATTCATCGAATTTCAGACACCTGCAAATTCTCTTTTCATGGTGACCTGAAAAATTAAAGGATTTCATAGGAAAAGTCAAGAAATTTTGTAAGTGCCGCATTGACTCGGTAACTTTACTTAGTCGATTAAATTGGAGAGTGGGCAAACAACTTCCGAGGGCCATTTTTTATAATTTGAATGTCTAGGTGCGCAAATTCTGTCCTAAGTTTATTAACAGTCAGCATAATTAAATGGTAAAAATCCAAGTGGAAGTTTTGTTCCAAGGTCGAGGAATTTGAAATGAAGGAAAAGCTAAAATGATCCAAGGTAAGTGAAACAAAGGTATGCTCTTCCCAACCCTGCCGGCCAGAACTCGGCTTTCGGCTCCTGCCGCCAGAGCTGTGGGGCGAAGTTTGAATTTCAACAATTTTGCAGTCTTGGCCGAAAACAAATATAACTGTCTGCTGTTGATTAAAACGAACAAATTCAACACAAGCAAATTCTTTAAAAATGAACATTCATTTGCCTTTAGTATTTTGGCTGTTTTTTCATTTTTATCAACAGGAGGGGGTCATATTTGTTATAGGCCAAAACAGCAAAATTTTTGAAAAAACTTCGCGCCACAACTGTAGCGGTGGGAACGGAAAGCTGAGTTCTAGCCAAAAGGGTCAAGAAGAGCATACCTTCATTTCACTTACCTTGAAAATGGTCAGGAAAAGGTCAGGAGATTGGAAAATATCTAAATCATGGAAATCCTGCATCAAGCAGAATTCATACCACCACAAAAGATGCTCGAGAAACTTAGATCTCTATAGATTATGCCTTTCTATAAAATCTTTTATTGTGTGTTTTTGTCCTACCTGCTTCTTTACGTCTAATTAAAATTTTCAACTTGTAAAAAACTGAATCTGTTTCCAAAAATAGAGCGTTAATTACAAAAACTTTCACAATAGTGGTTTCGTAGCTTTTGAAAATCAAAATTATACAAATTTTATGAAAAAACTTTTGCGAACTTTGCTGCTATGCCACCTCGTTGTTTTCACCTAATTTTTTTGTTATTTATGTTTTTAGTGTCCACACTGTACTTATGCAAGTCCAGACACATTCAAATTGAAACGGCATTTGCGAATTCATACTGGCGAGAAACCCTATGAATGTGATATATGCCATGCCCGATTCACCCAGTCAAACAGTTTGAAAGCCCACAAACTAATCCATAGCGGTACGTTTACTTAATTTTTTGTGTATCAGAGTAATTAATCATGGCCAGTCAGTAGCTTTTAATTTTTATGTCAATACTTTGGCACTAATACATCATGTTTCCTCCGTAATGTTTGCACCGCAGCGAAAGGTTGAGGATTACAAGAGAAACCTGCAATTAACTGTCTTGTGATCACATTGGTTTATGGAAAGTGCACAATTTTATATAAACTCATTGCCCCAAACAAAAAGACTGTAAAATATTCAATGGACTTCAAAGCTCAGAAAGACAGAAATACAAAACTGAAAAAAAAATTTCAAGTTAAGAGGATGAGTGGGTTGGGGTATGAACCCAGCGTTGATGAGTGATAAGATTAATTAGACCGGTTGCATACCCTAATTTTAACAAGTTTTTAGTGTTTATATATAAATTTGTAACGCCCGAATTTACTTTAAGTTTTGGTCTAATATGAAACTGTTTCATGTGACACGCACCCATGATGCAGATTAAGGAGTAAAAACATTTCTTAGCCTGAAGATGACCTAGCAAGCCAAAATTCATCAGTAAATCAATGTAAACAACAAAGGTCATGAGAAAAAAAAAATGATACAACATAAAGTCAAAAAATTTCATAACGATGAAATTCCAAAAGAGTTGGCTTTTGTGACAGAGATCATTCTTACAAAGAGACAGATCCTGCCTGCACAGCTCCTGCGGCTTTTTATGCCCCCGCGCCACCTTTTTATAACGAAAGAAGTGGGTTAACGTGTTGTCTCTAATCTTAGAAATATTTTTCCTTTGCAGCTGGTGATAAGCCTGTGTTTCGATGCGAGTTGTGTCCGGCCACTTGTGGAAGAAAAACCGATCTCAGAATCCACGTCCAAAAACTCCACATGTCCGATCATCCTTTGAAATGCAAAAGATGTGGGAAGCAGTTCCCTGACCGATACACATTTAAGGTGAGAGCTTGTAAATCGGTAGTCTCTGGAACCTTCGGTTCTTCTTAATGCTGCCCCTTGGGTTTGAGCCTGCCTGCATTTTTTTCTAAATTGGGGGCTCAAAGAGCAAACGCAAGTGAAAAGATACTCTGCGGTCAGTTTTCTTGTGGCATCACAAAATTTGTTTGCATTTTATTTTCCATTTGAAAAAAGTTTTCGAATTTTGGTATCTTTGAAAGTCTTTTTCCCTTCTAAAATTTGATTAAATGAAAAAGGGGAAAATGCACGCATACACCGGCCCCATTTGTAAGGCTTATCATCTTTAAATTTTTCATGAGATTCATTTCTAAACTTCTTTGGATCAGTCTAATCAAAAATGCATTTTTACAGTGCAGATGGTTACCTTGAAAAATTAAAATAATTTGCAGAGTTAGTAATGTTAAGGTTCAAATTTAAATGAAAACAAGAATGTGAAAAGAGGCATAAGTCAGATAGAGTAAAAACTAACCTCTGATTTGAGCGGGAGCTGGTATCCAGACAAGGAAACTGAAAAATTGGTCTGAATGCTTGTATCGTACTTGTTCACCTGAACTTTTAAACTCTTCTTTGCCCATAAAACTGATGAAAGTTTAAATTTTCAGCGTTTTATGTAAATTCAACTGAAATGTGGAAATTTTTTCTTGATGCAGGTTCATAATAAATCGCACGAAGGTGAGAAATGCTGGAAATGTGAGCTGTGTCCGTATGCCTCTGTATCGCAACGACATCTTGAGTCACATATACTAATCCACACAGATCAGAAACCTTTCCAATGTGAAATGTGTGATCAGGTAAATATTTTTTACTTTATTTTGGTTACTTTTTATCTTCGTTAAAAAGAACTGACTCCTCAGCTCTCAGCCTACCACGAACTTCTACTAAAATGATATCTGCAGTAATAATGATCACTCTGCTTCTGTTCGTGCAAACTTAAAGTTACTTATAATCAAATTTTTATTCGATTTTTAAAAACTCCTCCTGAATTGAATCAGAAAAAGAAAAGAAAAAATGATAGATAAACTTATAACAGCGGGATGATCGTATCTTTGATAGAATGTATCATTCTATATTTTTACAGAGACAAGTGTTTGAAGCATTCTCCTTTATGCCTCTTTTGGTAAGAATTTTGAGGAGCCATGCTCAACTTCAGGCAAATCTCAGTTAATTTTATTTATTTTCATGGGAAACCTCCATATAAGTATCTAGAGGAGATTAAGTAGTCTTGGCTGCTTGTGAAGTTACAAACTTTCCCTCCTTGTTTTCTACATCATACAAAGTGATAAACAGTGACTAACAATACAACAAATTTTTTCAGTCATTTCGACAAAAGCAACTGCTTAGGAGACACCAAAATCTTTACCATAATCCTGCCTACGTCCCACCGCCTCCAAAAGAGAAAACGCACGTCTGTCCCGATTGCAAGCGTATGTTCAGGCACAAAGGAAACCTCATCCGTCACATGTCCGTCCACGACCCAGAGTCGGCCCAATCAGAAAAAGCTCTGGCTCTCAAGCTTGGTCGGCAGAAAAAGATTCAAATTATCGATGGACAACAGGTATGTACAATTTCAGTGGTTTAGCAGGGTCGGAGAACCCTTGAAGTTGGACAAAATTAGGGAAGTTCATTTGAACTCAAGTCTTGGAAAAATCTAGAAGTCAGGGAAAAAGGGTTAATGTTGCAGTAAGACCTCGATTTATGGGATTATAATGGACTGATGAATTTATCTGTTAAGTAGCTAATTCGTCAATTGAAACCCTTGAAGGAACTGGAAGTTTGATTTGTCAAATCATGAAATCCATTAAATTGAGTTCTCACTGTAAATGAAATCATAGCATTTCCCAGGGTTTACGTTTGGATTATGTACTAGAAAAGAAAATTGTTAACATGCTTAAAATCAAAAGATTTTGAAATTTTTCTAAGATTCCAGGAGAAATCACGAAAACACTAAAAGTTTCCAAAATGGAAAAACGTCAATGAATATCATCAATCATGCATATTCATCACTTAAAAAGATTTCCATAAGAAATTTAATTCAAATTATCTGTATCTAATGTTGATAAACTTTATTTCAGGTGGAAGTCATTCCAGACGACGATGAAGAAGAGGAAGAAGAAGATGAGGAGGACGAGATGGACGAAACGGGCGAGTTGTCAGCCGGGATGGGCCAGCAGGTCATGCAAGTCGAGGGTGCTGATGGTCAGCAGTACGTTGTGCTGGAGGTGATTCAACTTCAGGATAGCAATGGCGATCCGCTGGCCGTCATGTCACAAAATAACTACGAGTCGCTCCAGAATATGACTGCGGATAAGGTGAGGAACTGAAACTCAATAATATGACGCCTCGATTTCCAAGTTTTGTAGCCAGGCAATGAACCTTCCTGTTTTTTGGCTAACGGAATTTGTGATTGGTTTTGTTTCATGAAAAATCGTCACCTCCCAGGCAAAGTATCACAAGCGCCATGCGACGTTTAAAAATTTCCGCCGCCATTTTATTTTTTTACTGAGAAACTTTGGGTTGAATCTGTTCGAAAATTTCACTAAATTTTATCGGCAGCACAAAGAAAATTCGGTGTAATTTTCGGACAGCTTCGTTGAATAATTTCTCTGTAAAAAAATATAATGGCGGCGGAAATTTTTAAACATCGCATGGCGCTTGTGATACTTTGCCTGGAAGGTGACGAAATGTTGACTGTTTTATGACTTAGCTAACAAAGATTTCCAGTCGAACTAAGTGAAATGTTCGAATCCGAGTTACAGAATTTACAGCTGTAAAGCCAAAAAATGATCTGAGAAAAAATTTCCTCTTACAAGTACAGTGATAAATCGAAAACCGATGGCTTAGGAACAATACGGCCCATCTGTAAACTGACAATTTTGCAGCACCTAGAAAAAACTTAGCAATTTTTGTAATTTTGAGGTTAAATTTGCTATTACTTTATACATTCCAGCATCATTACAGCACTTCCATGCGGCATTAGAAAAAAGTGAAAACCTCAACTTGAGCATTTTGTGCTGTAAAATTCAGCAAAATTGCCAACTCATTTATGTCAAAATTGTCAGTTAAGCGGTTTTTTTCCTTAATCCTCGAAATGCCAGAGAAACTCATACCAGATTATTTTAATTTTATTTTATTTTTTGAGTTGGTTGTTAAACTAAAAAGTTTCAAAGGGCTATGCGGGGAATACCAAGAAATTTGGCGCCGGCTAAATTTTAATATTATTTGATGTAATATTCTCTTGAGCACAATGAACCTTTAAAATTGCACTTCCAATGTGCTAAACTTGAGATAAGCAAGTCCGCAAAGTGAATTTTTCGGCATGTTTCCCTGCAATATCTAATAAAAATGTCGTAATATCGTATTATTGATCAAGCAGATGTTTCGTTTTTTTGCAGGCCAGATAGATAAAACAGGTGAAAATAATTAAATTCCCCTGAATAATAACAGCATGCGGTATAGTGTCCAGACATCTGTTATAAAATGTCTGTATTTAGAATGGTTTCCTTGTTTGCCACTTTTTCAAACAACATTATCAATTCAAACTGTCAAGTAGGCTTTTTTCAATATTTAGTGTTAACAGCCAGCTTGCCTGGAACATAACATAACTGAGCTCCCAATTTCAACCTCTTGTGTTTCTTTTCTCCCCAGCATAATATGCTAGAGGACACGAAAGTCGGCCAAGAAGTGTTCCTGAAGATCAAAGCGAAGGAAGAGGCGACTACAGCAGAAGACAACATGGAGAACTGCTTCGGTTTCGACGAAGAAGAGGATGAAGATGGGGTGGAAATGGAGACTGAAGAAGTTACCACTGAACAAGCTGAAGTTATCATGCCATGAGATTTGTAGGTGACGATTGGTAACCAGTCGTCATGAATGTGATCATTGATGAATAGAAATTTGTCAGTTTCTTTTTGACACATTCTTGCAGATGCTGGTGAATTTTCAATTAGTGCATCGCCCAATCTACTTGGTTCATAGTGGGCGAGACTCCGCCTTTCGTTGACCTCTAGTGAAGGTCAGTCGTTGAGAAAATGAAACGGCTCTTCGACCTCTCCTACAGAAAATAAAAGAGACATTTTTTAATTACTCTGGATTCTGAAGATTGCTGTTTTTTGGAAGAGAATTATGCTCAAAAGTAGTACTACAGAAATGTTTTTAGGCAGTAAGAGTTTATCTTCTATTATTTTTAAGATAACTTTCGAAATCTTTGCAGTTTGTAAGAAACTCACACCGCTTGATCAGTATCTGCAGCAGTGGAAAAGATAAGTGTAGGAAGAAAAAAGTGAATTAATGTATGTTAACTCAGCGGGCTGATTATCGAAAGTTTAAAGCAGCCCGATGACTGGGCATCACTGGCCAGTTTTTTGTATCATTACATCTTTAGATGATATCAATAGTCTAATGAATCAAGTAACCAGGGAAAATTCTTAAAATTGGGTCAAACCGATTTAGTCAACCTTCAATTCGTCTTGTTTTGTAAGTAAGTATTTTATTGAAAACAATTCGTTTTCTGATCAGTCTGGAGTATGCCTCCGTAGTAAGTCATAAAGCCTCCATGATTGGTCAATGTGTAGAGCTTGTATATCCAATTATTGTACAGATCAATTTTTAGTGTAGATTTGACTTTGTTTATACATACTTGAACCCTTGTTTGTATAGTGTCTGTAAAAATTTTGCTGTTGTCTCTGAGAACCGTCCGAAATTTTTCGGGCAGTTAAGTTGTGCAGTATTTTGGGAATGACAGTTGTCTAAACATATATTAAAGCCAAGGGTGCAGATTTTTTTTAGGACTCTCGGAATCCTCTTATTCTTCCCAGAAGTGTTTTCAATCCAAATATTTGAAAAGATTTCACTGAAAATTTTAGAAAAAGCTTGTTTATCAACTTGCTATTGAGGAAATGGCCTCAAAGCTTTCAAGTTCATACAAGATCAATGACTCCACAATTCTGCACCCCAGTTTTTGAAAGCTTGAATCGCTTTCAGTGTATATTGTTGTGTAATTTACCTTTAACCAAAGAATTTTAAATATTTTTCTTGATTAAGTACGCTTTATCAAGCTTTTTCTTTGCACATAAATAATAACTGATTTGCAGCTTCCTTTTTTGTGAGAGTAAATTTCAGCTAGCTCTTCAAGCGCCGGTAAAAAGAAGGAACCAAGAAAAGTTAGAGGTAAACATTCATGAAAATTTTACTCGCAAGTATCCAAGAATCCTACATATAGAAGGGAAACATTTTTAATTTTTTTAAACCATTATTATGAATTTTTTGAAGTTCTAAAATTAAGGGAAATTCTATCATGAGAAAATAAAACCTCTATTATTAAGATGAATTCCTATTTTAACTTTGGAAACTGCTCCTCCTTGAGATGCAAGTTGATAAAGCGCGAAGTAACTCTAGCTAAAGCCTCTTTCTTCTTTTTTTCTGTAATTTTATCTAATTTTGGACGCAGTTCCAAACAGCTGGAAATTAATTTTTTCCAGTACAAATTGCACGGCGAGAAGTGTCTCCCTTTAATTAGGAGGATTTTAAGGTTTCACCTAACCTTTCATGATACTTCAAAACCAAAAAATGCATCATTTACTGTACAAGATAGAGTGTGAAAAGTATCAATTTGTGCATCAAAAGGAAATCCCCTAAAGTTTAATTTTTACCTTCAGTTTTTTGAAATCACGCAACAGCCCTTGCATATAGGCAAGAGTTTTATTACGATCATCATGTGCGAAGAAAATGCCCAAATTTAAAATAAGTACGAGACATTTTTGAATTCTTGCATCTCATTTACTTCAGCCTCTATTCAATCTGTAGATAGATACATTCATTCTTTCTTTATATGGATAGTGTTAAGAACACGTGTCACATCTACATCAAGAGATTTGAAAATAGACCTATGTGCAAAAGTGTAGGACTGGTGTCACAAGTTAAATAGGGACTTACACAAAATTAGGGGCCCTAGTATTGCAATAAGGTCACATCTGCATATAGAAAACGTTCTGTGTGCTCACTGCCCAAGACCACCCAAGTGGTTATTCAATTTTAATGTTCTGTCATGTAGGGTTTCTATTGTAGAGCTATCCCAGTCCTTTTTTCCATACGACTGAATGTAACCCAAATTTTTCTGCCTTAAAAATCAGTTCTTTTTAAAAGGGCCCAATGTAGATATGACAGGTTTTCTTAACGCTATCTAAATACTAGTTAGGTTTAAAAATTTGGTTTTCAGATAATATTTTTTATGTTTTTCCTATGCACAGTCTCCAGCTCTGGTAACAACTTATTTTATGGTTGAATCTTATTCTCACTTATTTTATAATAAATAGACACCGTCTTGATCGTATCTTGTTGGTGACGGAAGCGCGTTACAGTAAAAATATCCAGGGTCGGATTAACATTCATTTTTTTTTTATTATTTTTAAATCAGTTGATGTACTTTTATGTATTATGAGTTATAGAAATTTTTGTCAAAATTTGTACTGTATTCAACAAGTTTGAAAAAAGTAGACAAATTTAATCAAGGAAAGGACCTTGCACTAGATCTTGGTTTCTTGTAATAGCACTTTTAAATGATTGTTTTTCACTCAAGCTAAAGTTATTGTACAGTCAGTGTCAAGTATTTCTATGTTCCAGCTCCTATTCATGTGAAACTCTTTCTTGTCTTGCCCTCAAAGTATTGTGACGATAATTTTCTTCGCCATAAAATAATTTTTGTAAATCTTGAAATGTTGTTATGATTATTTCAACCTTAGATTTTTATTTTCTATTGAAAGCTCGGTACTTATTCTCTTTAAATGAATCCTTGATCTATATTCTTCATGAGAATTCAATTTTGATGATTTCACATGATATATTAACCTCACTAAGTGGATGATGATGCCTTTGTATGGTGTATTTTTTACTCTAACACTCTCAATGGAGATAGGAAGCATTGTCTTTGAAAAATGTGAAGAATCAAAACTCCATCATCATAAGAGGTCTAAAGGCACCTCGAGTAAAAAGAACTCGATTGCTTAGTGCGAAAAATGCATATTTCAATCACAATATCGAAGAACCTCTAATTATCTTGTGTTCCTCCACTAGAAAACTAATTACGATAAAATATTTCACAACAACTTCATGTGATTTGTATAGAGTGAGCAAAACAAATTCAGTCACAATATTATACTGTGGCCGCTGTTCGTCAGTTTCCCTTTGAAAAGATAATAATTGAGTGGAGAATCGCAGCGTTTGACTTCAGCCATTGGCAAGTAACTTGAAAAAATATGTGTATCCATGTGGCATTTTTTGATGGCCAACATTTTGCGTGTTGGGATATATCCTAGCAGTTTACTGTTGAAAAGCATCCCAAATTGGCACCGAGGACTTTTTCTTTGTATGGCTCCCTAAACAACCATTAGTATTTTTTTCTATTTTGAAGTTACCAAAACTATAAACGACAGTTATTTGTTCTCGGAAATTGTTTTCTGAAATTTTTGAAGAAACTTTAACATTTGCGTAAGCACTCTATTGTCAACACTGAGATTCCTTGCATTTAAGTCATCACTTTCCGTAAAAGAAGAAGAAACAAAAAATTGAAAATAAATACTCAGGTAGTCTGTAAAGTCGAGTCGTAAATTGCTCTATGAATGTGGACAACATACAGTGAGTAATTATCAATTTTTCATCGAATCAATTCTCGAGTAAGTTGAATCAGAAAATATTTGTTATAAAAGCTACTGCGGCCAGGGGGACCATGTCCCGTCAATTCGAATTTACCGCGCTCATTTGGCGGGAAAACTGAGCATCATCCCTACTTGATGAGGAATCGAAAATTTTCTTCCCTTGTTAGTGAGTAACAAATTACTTCAAAGTAAATTTTCTATTAAGTCTCATTAATATATGCGCCTCTAATATGTTTTGATAATATCATTGACTCTTACCGAGGGAAATAATGTTTAAAATAATAAAACTAAATAAAACCAATCCGCAACAAGGACTTGAAGTTGGTAAAAGTGCATCCTCCTTGTCGTTTGGCGGGATTTCGCCATTTTCTTGTTTACAGTTTGAAATTGAAAGTCGTCCGCTGTTTACTGTTTACGTACTTCCTTCATTCTTGCATTTCGCACCTGTTCTCAAGTATAGTGAATTTATTAATTTAGTAGTTACCTCTTAAATCCTCAGTTTACCTCGCGGTGCTTCGTGCCTCTTCTTTAAATTTACTCTCATAATCACAGACACCGAAGTTCCCTGTCTTTTACTCTGGATCAGCTGATTACAATTGTCTGATCATCACTGTAGCACGTCTGTTTGGGTAAGCTTCCACTCAAGAAGGCATTTTATTTACACTTATCTGATTATTGCTCCACAATCATCCTTTGATGAGAATTCATTTAGTCAGTCACTATTCAAACGCAAAGAAAAGTACCTACTTGACCCGGGAGCAGCAGGTGGCACCTGTTGGGTATTTTCATTCATTCTTACTCGGAGGGCTGAGGCAAGATGAACTTCCAATAGAGTGTACTCTTAGTAATTATTATGTGTATTTCAGAGTGTGAATATCAATCCTACGGAGATAGAATTGCTGTAATATCTTCCTGTTCATCGTTATTTTGCCGCAGGTGATTTGCGTTCAGTTGTGTGGCTCTTCACATCAAAGAGTTCATTTTTACCAAACATATTCCAACGCAGCATCTTGATTTTCACGTAGACTGTTCTGATGAAATTGCATTAACAGGAAATGGATTTAAGTTGCTAGATTTTACTAGCCAACCCCTAAGTTCAAACCCAAAACCCTGGCAGAGATGAGCTGAGGTAACAAGTAATTTATGATTAGATCTGTCTCTTAAGCCTATACTCAATTCATATGGGTCTAATTTTCTCAAAATAATTCGAGCAAAACTCAGAGTCCGTCATGATGCAGGATGAACTTGGTACAAATTGATGTACGAATGGATGTAGGCTTCTATTTGACTACTGCGCTTGCTAAAAACAGCAGTAGATGATCTCCCTTGTCTACGTTTAAAATTTATGGATGCTAATATCTGCTCAATTTTGTTGTCCTTTCCCAGATCCCTTCAGCACAAAATGGAAGGAACCTCCAATGAATGCAGGCAAGAAGAATTGAAACTGAAGCTGAGAATGATGCGGGAAATTGCTGCTGAGAAAAGAGCTCAGCGACAGAAAGCAGCTCGGGAACGAGAGAGACTACGCCGCAAACAAAGAGAACTTGAGAGGAAAAGAGCAGCTGAATTGGGAGAATCGCTCACTCCGAATTCAAAAGCAAAGAAACGTAAGTCACCAAGTCCAAAAATCAATAAACCTCTTAAAATGTTTGGAGGAAGGAGAAAGACAGAAAGGGAATCGTGGATCGAGAAGGAAAACAACCGTGCTATCAAGAAGGTGCTCATTGCTGATGAGCGACAGACAAGAGCTGAGCAGAGACATTTGCGGAAAGAACAGTTAAACTCTTCAGCAAGTATTTAATGAAGCATAATATGTGAATTATAGTTTATTAAGGAGAATTTCCATCTTTTTTGGTTGAGTTTTTTTTTTTGTTGTCTGTTGCTTGACTATCTATGCCAGCTCGATTGAATCTCGATCAATTTTCTCTCCTCCAAACCAATTTTTTCTGTCAACCATTTATGACATGCCTAGCTTTTTCTTATGTTCAATTTATGTGTGTTCTTGTATTTTTGTTCTATTTCTTTGTAGACGCTCTCTTCGCATTACGAAGTTTTACGTACAGCAACTCTTTGTAAAACTAATTTTTTTGAAGTTACTCACTTGTTTGTGTGAATTTTTTCTTGAAACTTTTGATAATAAGTTACTTGTTTGTGTGAATTTTCTCTTGAAACTTTTGATATAAGTTACCTACTTGTTTATGTGAATTTTTTCTTGAAACTTTTCATTAGTTACTTACTTGTTTGTGTGAATTTTTTCTTGAAACTTTTGATGCTGTTGATTAAGGTGGGGTTCTTTTTTAAATTCTAAATTCTACACTTGTAACTTCAAAATTCTAAAACAAAGCAATAAAGCACAGAGTACTGTCCAAGGAGGAAGGGCCGAAATTCTCTTGAATTTACTAACATTTATTTTAATTATTTTTTATGCTTTACACTACACCTTTTTCACAATTTTGTCGGTTTAAGTCATTTTAGCAAGCACTTTATTTTTTATTTTTCCAGTCTGAAGTAGGCACTCTGCTTCTCAGTCAATTTTCCCGCTGTTTGTTTTTTTGATTAATTAATTATTATCAATTTTGTTTTCGATAAGACAGCTATGCTGAACCACATTAACTCTTAAAAGAACTACTTTGTCATGCTTTTAAGAAAACAGGTCTCAAAATCTATGCGTTCTACAGCCAAACAACAGTCATCCCAAAAATTTTCAGATTTGTCACAGTAACCATGAAATGATCTTTTGAATTGTTTAGCTCTAAATGTTTAAGTTATCCACCTTCTTTTTTTCTTTCTCTAGTTTTCCTGGTACTCACTTATCTCAAAGATTAAGTTTATGCTCTTTTGTTTTTTCTTTTCGCTTGTTATTTAATAATTTTTTACATTAAAAGAATAAATTGAAAACTTTAAGTTTGCTGGTCTTTTTTTTTTTTTTTTTTTTAAAAATCGTAAATTATAATTATTCTACTGAAAATATTTTAGAAATTAGTACCCATCGAAACTTAGCAAGAGAAGAAGAAAAAACTGTTTGAAAAAAAAACTATCAAAAATTCTTATCTGCAGTTTAAAGGTTTGTATTTAGTTTCCTTAATTTTGTATTATATCAGAATGCTGAAGAATTTGATAAAAATTGCCTCAAAACACGAATACAACAATAATGCATTGCTAGGGAAAAAGTCGGTATAAGCTTTCAGTAATATTCAAAATTCCTTTGATGAAGTACGAGTTTTCAGGAAGATTTATGGATAATTTTCTCCCGATTTTTTAGATAATTTTATTTTCAATTTAATGTAAAGTATTTGAAAGTTTTGAAAAAGAATAATTATAAATATTCTTAGAAATTCTGTCGAAAGTTTAGCACAAGTCTTTTTTTTTTTTTTTGAAATAACATATTTATCAGTTTATTTACAAGTTACAACCAATTAAGACAGTAATTGGCGAGAAGGCCTATAATGTACAGTCTAGTAAGAAAGAATAAGAGCATAATTATGCTTTATAGTGATATTGTTACAAGATTAAAAGGGTTAAATACTTATAGAGTATTTAACCCTTTTAAGCATTTAGCACCTTTAGCACAAGTCACCATGTTTAAAAAAAAAAAAAAAAAAAAAAAAAAAAAAAAAAAAAAAAAAAAAAAAAAAAAAAACGAAAATTTCAAAGGTTAGGGAGACCCTGGTAAAAATTGGCGATAAGAGCTGCGTTTCAAAATACCATAGGAATTCTCATAGCCGGCTAAATAAGGCTACAGAAAATCATATAGCTGGCTGTAGAATGCGGAGAAAATCATACGGCCGGGCTATACGAATTAAGCGATAAAAAATAATGCAGCCGGGCTACAGTTCCTACAGGTTCCTACAGCCGGGCTTTACACTTTATCGCCTGGTCGTTGTTTTTTTGCCATCGATTATAAAAGGCTATAAGAAATTGTGTAGAAATTCGTGTGCTTTGGAAATCATTAAGTTTGATACGGAACCACCTTAATATTTTCAAAACACAAGTTATATTTTCCTTTAATATATATTTTTTTTCATCAGTTAAAACGAGAATAATCCATGCAGGATGTGCAAACATTTCAAAATCATGAGTTGAATAACGCTGACTCCGCCAGATTAAATATTAGAACCTAACACAAAGTGGAGCGGCGACGCACTGGCGCCTACAAACCTAACTGGGATACTTCACGCGTTGCGCAACGCGTGAAGTATCCCTGTTAGGTTTGTAGGCGCCAATGCGCGTTTCGTGCTGGCTGCCCGCCTGCCGCACCGCAGCGTGCCACGGCGCTTGAAGCAATTATTTCACACCAGAGGTATTGCACAGCATCATACGAAACTGAAGGCAATATTAGGAATGGCAGGCATCCATCAAAAGTACGGAGCTTTCCTCGCAAAATAAATCAAGATACTCCGGCCCAAAAAGAGAGCAGTGGTCCAAAAACTCACCAAGCCCTAGCATCCGTAATTAGTGACGTTTAGCATACATTTTATCGCCTGGCTGTGAGTTGCTTAATCGCCATCGGCTATAAAAGGCTATAAGAAATTGTGTAGGCGGCTGCAGAAGCTATTGGAAATCTTACAGCCGGCCGTAGGTCTATGGTATTTTGGAACACAGATTCTACTGCCAATTTCTACCAGGGGAGGCAGGGTATTAGAAAGTTTTGAAGTCAAGTAAAAGCGAAAATGGCTATTAGGGAAAATTCTGGGAATTTAAAGGTAAAGAATGAATGGGAAAGTGACACTTTAGGGGGAAACTTTTTCACTCCTAGGGGGTCCAGCCCCCGTGGCCCCACGGCTACGCAATTGGTGGTATGTCTTATGGTTTTCGGCTGACCATGGTGGCAGTCGTTGTTGGCAGAGACGATGACAGAGGGGTTGAAAGATCTTCGACCTACCCAGTTTCGAGCCACCAGGGATTCCGCTTATTGACTTTGACATTGCGCCTTCGCAGTAATTTGCACCAACAAATAGCGCGTCTGCAGTGATTTTCGAAAAATAGAATAAAACCAACCTTTTGATTCGTATCATCGCATACAGAAAAAAAGGAGGTGTTTGCATCTTGAGGTTTGTTTACCCTATGACGTAGGTCGGTACAACCTGGCCAGCGAAATCCGGAATTTGAAGTATGAAAAACGGACCGTAATGTCCCATTTTTTTGCTTAAATCAACTCATGATATAATTTCACGCACTTTTTATAGAATGAATTTTTTCCATAAATTAAACCATTTCCAAGAAAATTGATGATAAACTTCGCTGTACTGACCTACGTCATCAAAAAAATTCCAAGATGCCCGAAATTCAAACACCTCCTTTTTTTTTCTCTATGGTATCATCGAACGTTCAGTTTGGAACAGGGCCGGATCTACCTACTTGCCGCCCCCTGCTCATTCCTTTTGAAACATCATTAAAAACCATCAAGTGAAAGTGCCAGAGGGAGAGGGAGAGGGGTGCATAAGACGCGTTCACTTGTATTGGACACATTTTTTGCGAAAGCCCTGTCAATACTACTAGCAAAAGTTCATGGAACTTTGCGCGAAACTTCTATAAACCTATCTCATCTCTGTGTGGACAAGGCCTCCCATTCATGAGAAATGAACGAAAAAATTATGAAAGAACAAACATATCGACGGTGAAACTACCAAACCACGTATCTCGGTTTGCGACGTCGCAGACTTCCTGCCAAACTTTATATTTTAAATGATAAACTACTTAACGTCAAATCCTGAAAATTTCTGTGATTTTTCCTCTTTGTGCTGAGAAAATTCTGTGAAAATTTCAAGGAATGATATTGATTTGGTCTACTTCAAAAAAATAAAATGTGAGCGTAAATTTATAAACACCGCAAACGAGATACGTGGTTTGGTAGTCTCACCGTCGATATATGGTTAAATAATTTTAACCTCCATCGCCGCGCCGCGCTGGCCGTACTGTGTTTGGCGCAATGCGTGAAGTATTCATGCAGTCTTGTAGGCGCTGATATGTGTTACATGCCGACCATCGCGCTGAGGGCTTCTCCTTTTCATCTCAAGTCCTCGTCATCATTGTTCTTTGCGCCGCGCCGTTCCAGGCCAAATTGCGTGTTTGGTTTCACTCTTAACTTGAATGATTAAAGGTGCTGTCTCTTGTATCACAGAAAGACGACAAAATTAGAAATTACAATACTATCAGGAAATGAGGGATATTGTCGCCTTTCCTCGTTTGTAATTTTTTTTCTGTATCCGATTTTTTTCATACCTATTTTTAAAAAAATTGCAAAATTTGCCGCCATGCGCTGGAAAAAAAAAGAATCTTAAATTTGCCGCCAAGAAGTATTTCTTCTTAAATCAAGAATTTTGCTGGTTAATATTTGCTACTTTTTTACCTAACCCAAGCATTATTTTTCTTGAATCAAGAAAAAGTCAGCTTAAAGCAAGATAAAGAAAATTCTTGGCGGCAAATTCAAGAATTATCATGCTTGATCCAAGCTACTTTTTTTTTCAGTGTGGGGCGGGGCCCATATGGCCACCCCCTAAATCCGACCCTGGTTCACAAGTAACCCAATTTCTTTCATCGGTTCTTTAACCAAATTAGTTCGGTTACGCGAACTAAAGGATTGATTTGACGAACCAAATAGTTGCGATGATATAGAAGACCATGTTCTCCTTCATTTTGTGGATATGAAATTTTATCTTCTTGGCAGTCAAAATATTTGTATCAAGTGTTTTGACCCATTCGATTTTTTACTCCTGCGTTTACCTACGTCTCTGAGTCAGCCGGAAAGAGCTCACATTCTCCTTCATTTTGTGGACTTGTAATTGAGGACACCGCACCAAGAACAGCCTATAGGCGTATAGGTCGTTATCACGCCCATCTGCTTTTCGGATTCTACGTACCCTGGACTATGCTGTGGTAGCGATAGAATATAGATAGGTAGCGGCTGGAGGTCGAAAAACCTTCTTTTTCCGAGTTAAGTAAGGCCACTGGATCGATGGGTGCAAGAACGACCTTCAGATAGTTGTATTATTGCGCCTTATAGGAATGCGACGGGAGATTACAATTGAGGACACCGCACGAAGAACAGCCTATAGTTGTATAGGTCGTTATTACGCCCATCTGCTTTTCGGATTCTATGTACCCTGGACTATGCTGTGGTAGCGATAGAATATAGATAGGTAACGGCTCGAGGTCGAAAAACCTTTTTTTTCCCGAGTTAAGTAAGGCCACTGGATCGATGGGTGCAAGAACGACCTATAAGCGGGCCTATAAACTTAAGGGCCTATATGGTGCTAGTTACCCATTTCTTTACTCACTATTGATATTCTTTCATTTTGCGTTAATCATGCGTGATAAAAATGATTTATACTTCATATTGCCACGAAAATGACTGTTGGGTGTAATAATGGCCTACAAACCGCTTTTTTAAATTAAATATATTAGAGTAAACCCAAAATGTATCGCAAAATCTACCCGGCATCCTTTGATAGAAGGGTTAGGTCACCCAAAAACACCAAAACAGGGTACCTGCACAGAAAAGTCTGCGCAGTACATCAAAAACAAAAATTTAAATGCGTTTTTCTCAAAACGCATTTTCAAGTTATAGGCTGTTCTTGGTGCGGTGTCCTCAATTGAAATAGCCTTCATGTACGCTGGGCTTGTCGATTTCCTTTCACACTTTTGCAGTGGTGAATGCATAGCTGAAGTGCGCTCCAGCTAGAATTGTATTAAGCAAATGGGTGGTTTTTATACGAGGATTTAAATAAACAAGTGGTACGGAATATAACAAAAGAATTTGAACTATGCAAAACGATAATCCGGATAGCGGAACTTGGCTGTTTTGAAAACGCCTTAAAATGCGGCGTGATACCTCACGCATTCCGGAGAGTTCAAATAGTTGTATCAATGCGCC